TCTGAAGTGGATTTGCTGTGTGAAAGACATGCCAGTTACTATAAAAAGTAGAAAATACTGTATTTGTGTATATATGTATATTTTATATATATATATATTTTTTTTTTTTTTTTTTTTGAGACGGAGTCTTGCTCTGTTGCCCAGGCTGGAGTGCAGTGGCGTGATCTTGGCTCACTGCAAGCTCCGCCTCCCGCGTTCATGTCATTCTCCTGCCTCAGCTTCCCAAGTAGCTGGGATTACATGCACCCGCCACAACGCCTGGCTAACTTTTTGTATTTTTAGTAGAGATGGGGTTTCACCGTGTTAGCCAGGATGGTCTCGATCTCCTGATCTCGTGATCCACCCGCCTCGGCCTCCCAAAGTGCTGGGATTACAGACTTGAGCCACCGCATCCGGCCTATTTGTATTTCTTATCGAAAGTATAGTATGAGCATTTTGAGTTAAAATATACTAGTTTATATATTTATATGAGGCTACAAGGAAGGTTTCAAATTCTATAACAGGACTCTCAATTCTGTTGGAAAGTGCCAGTCTAGATGTCTGATACAGCAGAAAACTGAGTTTTTAAATCTATAAATATTTAGGGAATCAAAGTACAACGTGTCAGAGATGAAAACGTATTAATTCTTGAGCCAGAGGAAGGGCAAACACTTTTCACTATAATGGAGTGGGGAATTTCAGGTTCCGTACACGATAATCTTGAGAATTGTCACTCCTTCCTCACAGGTAAAAATCTGAGCAAACTGAAAAATCAGCAGTTCTTAAACCTGCAAGAGACGTGAGGTCACCTGCAAGCCACTGTCCCCAGATTGGCTGGACAGGTAAAGCAGATGAATCACCAATACACTGGAGCACAATGCTCCAAGGAACCCACACTGGGATTGGAAAGCCTGAACTGGAATTGACAAATTGCTGCAGTGAGGTGTGGCCACGTCTGAGAGTTAAAACCTCCAGGAGGCCTGTGCATATGGGTCTCATGCTTTTGTGAGTTGTATCATCAGAAGCTCAACCAGGTTCTCGAAGTTAAATATCAGAGAAAAATCCCCTCATACTTACTACAGGGGAAGGAGAATAGGAATCATTTTTCAATACGTAGGTGCACTCTTCACTAGACCTACCTTCCAGAGAAGCTAGTTAACGAGAGACTCACCTGGTGGGATTTTATCAGAGCCTTCTGACCTGGGGGAAAGGGAAATACCCAACTCCAACCTCCAGAACTGAAAAGCAAAAAAGAACAGAGTATCCAAGCACTATGGGACTTCCACAGAGGCAGAAAATATGCATAACGGTAATACAAGGGGGAAGAAAGAGGAACAGAAGAAATATTTGTAACAGTAATAGCTGAATATCCTCAGATTAATGCCAGACACCAAACCATAGATCCAGGAAGCTCAAACACCTAGATTCTCTTAAATATTAATATTGTAATTGTAATATGTAATATTTAAAATAGTTATTACAATAGTACATTTGTGATAGTAAATATTACCATTACTTAAAATGCAAACTAGAAACAAATTGTTTCTAAAAACCAAGAAGTGTGGATTCTATGAAGCTGATTTCTTTTATTCTCTCTATTCTTAATTCTAAGCCTTTCAAAGAATAAAGTACTCACACATTAATAAACTACAGCAGGCGAAACAAATGAGGCCGCCCTCTGTGACACGGAAGGCCCTATGACCTATTCCACCTCTAACACCAAGTGTGCGGTTTCTCTCACCCTCTCTGGACCCCAACTGTGTATTCTACAACTGAATTGAGGTCTGAAATTAGGGCAGACCGCACAGGTCGTCTCAGACCCATGAGACGGCCCCCGCTTCACCAAAGGTAAGTTTCGGGTCTCCCTTGCTTCTGACCGGCCACCTAAAAATCAGGCTTGCCATGTCCTCCTACTTAAGGTCAATAACTTGCCAGACGGGCTCATGGCACCCAGGGCAACACCTTTACCTACTGTCACCAGTTCACTATGAAGGACCTGTGAACAGCCAGATGAAGAGGTGCATTGCTCCAGGCCTGGTGGGCGGGGGCGGGTTGCAAGTGCAAGTGCTTCTGTCCCTGGGGAGTGGGAATACTGCCCTCCCAGAACGTCAAGGTTTTCCCCAACCTGCAAGCTCTCCAACCCCCACCATTTAGGGTTTTCTAGAGGGGTCACTATAGACATGGTTGAAGACATCTTTGGCTATTGGGGATTGACTCAGCTCCAGCCCTCTCCCTCCAGGTGAGAGATTGGGTTGGAGACTGACAGCTCCAGCCCTCTAGTCCCGCCTTGGTCTTTCTGAACCCCAGACCTACCTTGAGGCTGCCTAAGGGTCCCCAGCTCCCAGGCCTGTCCTGAGCACACAAAGGCACTCTGACACTCTAAAGATTCCAAGGGTCTTAGACCCTCTGTGCCCAGAACCAGCTGAAGACCAAATAGCTACATCTCCTTGGATGGTACAATCACAAGCTCTCATCAGCTGACGGTCCGGGACAGGTGTGCTGAGAGAGCTTTGCTGTGGCCCTGTTGCTGGGAATCTTTGTTTTCTATCCTCACTGGGGCAACAGACGCTTTCTGGTCATTCCCCAAGCTGGCTGAATTTACAGTCTTTTCCGTTTGATTCCACTGTTCTGGCCCAGTTCTTCTGAAGCCTCTTTCAACATCGTTGCCTCACCTGGGTGCTGAGATCCTGTGGCCCTCACCCAGCAGGAGATATGGATGCCAGGATCCGGCTACCCTACCTACAGTTGGATTGTGAAGAAGCCGGCCCTAAGCCTTCCCTTCCTAGGTCTCTTTCATGCCAGAAATGAGACGTTTTATTTGTATTTCATTTTAGGTCGATACGACTGACATACAAATGTGAGTTGGCCAGTTCACTTGCCAGGCACCTGACTTCTGGATAAGAAGAGTCTGGATAAGAAACAGGCCCCACACTGCCAGGACACAGAAGGGCAGCCTCGGTCCCCACAGGGTCTTGACAGAAAACCACAGCTCCCGCAACTGCAGGAATTCTACAGATTTTCACTTAGAAGAAAATGCCACCCAGAGTACCCACCCCGATTAATTTTCTCAAAAGTGGTTTTGCAAAGGCTCAGAAGAAAAGTCAGGACACAGGGCACCAGCCAGCCCCACCTTCCCAAAATCACTTGCCCCGGGGCCACCCACCTGCAATCAAACTGTTAGAGATGGGCTTTTCTTCTCAGCTGTTACCAGAGCAAATATTCCTGGAGAAGCATGCATGCGAGTAGGGCGCCTCTCTACAGAGGTCCTGGAGAGTGAGGCTTCAGCAAGTCACTGGCCAGGGACCCCGGGAACTTCACAGTTGGGGGGCTGGAGGGTAGAGGGGGCAGAACCCTAACGGTGGGTGAGTTGAAAATGGAAGAGCATTCTTCACCTCAGAGTCTCCTGGGGCCTTTCCCTTCAGGAACTGAAGGGGTGAGGAGGGCTGTGCAGTCTCAGGTGATACCTGGGCTTTGAGAGCCGAAGCATCTGTCCCCACAGCTGGGCAGCCGCCTGCCGAACCCACCCTGTAATAACTGGAGTCCTTTGTCCCCACCCAGCGCCAGTCTGGGGGTCTGGTGCACACTGTACTTGATCGATCCATCCCATACATGAAGTGCTGATGTCACTTTCATACTTCAACTGCCCCCCCGCCAAAGTATACCTTCCGGACATTGGAAAAAAGACAGCCCTTGATGTAGCCCCAAGTCCTCTGCTCTCCATGAACCTTCTGAGGGCGACTGCAGCATGGCGAGCAGGGAGCCACGGGCTTCTTGATAAAAGTGTAAAATGAAACTCTGTCTGAAAGGACCCCCATCTGTTAGATTTGGAAAACATCTAAAGGCCGTTTGCTTTTCACAATGACTAGACTCTTAGGAATGTATTCTAAGGAAAGGCAGAAGATATGGAGAAACAAATTCAACAAGAATATTCTTTGCAGCAATAGCCAGGGAGGAAGAGAGGAAAAGGGGAACAGAGAAACAGGCAGACGAGACAGACAAGAGAAAGAGAAACAGAGAGAGAGAGCGCACCTAGCTCGTTTTCAACTTGACCTCCTGGGAGAATCTAGCAGGATAATAGAATCCTCAGCACACTCTTGTACTGGGGCAGCAAAGTTTCCCAAACTACAAGGTAACAAATGCTAAGACTGGAGAAGCTGTGCACGTTCTTTTCCAGCTCCTTTTTGCAGCATCAGCAGAATGGGGCAGGTTGCTGCGTTCATTCTAAAAATCAAAACTGCAAGAGGAACCAGCTGCAGAGATGGGGGTGGGAAGGCAGATGTTCTCTTGCTGACTGAGCTCACATCCCGGAGAGCGCCAGCGCCTAACGCCGCCTCCACAGGTTCCACGGAGGACACAGGAGAGAGTGCGGCCATGTGAAGAGCAGCCTCACAGTTCTATGGCTCCCTCTCTCTATGAGCTGTATCCCATGAGTCCTGCTCACTCCCCTCGGTCCCGATGCCCTAGCCGTCAGCATCTCTGCCAATCTTCATGAAAGAGCCTGTTGCACCGCAGTCCAGCAGGGCCACAATATTCAGAATGAAAATTGTAATGATCACTCTTCTCACTGCAAAATCCCAAGAGTCAGAGAGCTTCTCTCACTAAAGGAGAGGGGCGGGGCAGGGCGAGCTGGACAGAGAGAAGCTGCCCTGGCTGTTGGGTGCTGAAAACTGTGACACCGCCTGGCACCAGCGATGAGGGACTCACGCTCGACCCCAGAGGAGGCTCGTCCAGGAATAACAAGGGGCCACCGCGGGTCTCCCCGAAGCTTCCAGCTGTCGGGAAATCTTGTCCAATCACCCACCTTGCCATGCTACCTGCTCACCTGCATTCTGTAGAAGTAGTAACGCATCATTCACGTCCCAGCAGGCCAAGTGTGCAGGAAAATGGGGCCAAAAAGTAGAAAACCATGACCGTAGAAGGCAACGGCACGTGACTGAGCTTTCTGGGTGGTGCGTCCTTGTGGTGATAAACACAGTCCTGAGCTGAACACCAGAATGAAAACGAACCTTCCTCCGTGCTGAAGTCGGAAGAGGTGTGCTTGGCTATCCGCAGTGCCTGCCTGTTTGGGCGGTGATTACTGCAGGTCACACGTGCTGTACAGGAGGAGGGCAGTGAACTCTGGAGCCAGGCTGGCCGGGTGCAAGTCCCAGCTCCATGGCCAGCTCTGTGATCTGGGACAATTCACCTATGTCCTCCGCCTCTCGATTTCCTCCTCTGGAAAATGGGGTAATAGTCGCATCTATCTGAAAGGGCTATGTGAGAATTAAACGACCTTGTAAATGTAAGGGGCTGAGAACAGTATCTGTTCTTGGTGAGCAGAAGGATGACCAGGAGGTGACCAGCAAAATACCCCTTTCGAAGCCTCAATACTGTTCCGTAGTGAGCAAAGACACAGCTCCTCTATGGACGAAGCCATTAATAGTCGATCCTGGCAGGCAGAGTGCAGATTCCTTCGAATCAGAAATTTGAACTCTGGCCAACGACTGCTGTACTGATTGAGTAAATCTTAGGATTTGTTGTTAATGGTAAAGTAGTCTACAAAAACAAACAGTCTGAAGGAGTTTGAGAGGGTGTGGGCTCAGCTGCAACCTCTCCTCCCAAGGCTGTTGGTCAACATCTCCAGCCCTGTGGAAAGACAGAAGCAGTGAAGAAAATGTCGGACAAACATTTGGTGTGTTTGTACACTTCTCCCAGAAATCCTAAATGCTTTGCATGTTTCAGCTAATAATTCATTAAAATGGATTATGCTGACCATTTTATAACCTACTTCACTGCTCTCCTGTCTAAATCCATCCCTTTGTGACAAATTTTTTTACACTTGGCTCATTTTTTCAATTGTGTTTGCTGTCTTACCCCCATGTAAAGGATAAACGTGCATGTTTATGTTGATTTGACTGAGACAGCTAATGCTAAATGTCTCTGTTCCTTGAATGCTGACTTGTGATGGTGTCATTTAAGTCTCTTACTTTTTCCCCTTGAGTCAGCAAAATATTCCATGTTACTTTGAGCAAAACTTGCTCACTAGTGTTATGGAGGGTATAAAAGCAAATGGAATAAGTTTCCTGCCTTCAGGAGGATTGAAATCTCAAAGTCGGTATGACAGCATGGATGGGAGTCAGCTCAGTTTGCAGCTTTTAAAACATGTTGGAATCTTTCCTCTGCCACTTTTAATGGTGAGACCCTGAGCAAATCATTTCCACAAGCATCAGGCTCCCCATCTATGACATGGAAGTAAAAATAGCAATCTTGACAAAATTGTGATGACTACAGACGTGTACCTAACCTCTTATTTACCGCCTCCCGATAGAAGATATTGTAACTCATCCCATTTGAGAGCAGGTGGTGATCACCCCATCCTGTGAGATTCAAGTATAATAATTATCTGGAATCCCCCATCTGCAGGCGAGGAAGACCCAGCAGCCCTCACAATGTCTTCTGGAAACTGGATTTTGTTTGAAGGGTGAACTGACTCCAAGTTTCTTCTGTTTTCACGTATTGTCCTTCCTACGTGTCTCCTGGGGTTTTTCCCTACCTCCCAATCTACATTAACCTGGTAACAGCCAGCTATGTTTTCTAGAATTCCCCTAAATGGACTCATGCCAAATACTGAATACAGTAGATTGGGAGGGTTCATTAAATCACGATAGAGCATCCTAAAGAAGGAAAGTAGACACCTTTGTTCTTAAAGGGTCTTCAGCCATCCCACCCTGGAGGTGGTTGCTGATTGCCTCTTCTCCTCGGGCAGTCTTGTTACTATGCATCACTTTTTTTTTTTTTTTTCCTGAGATGAAGTCTCTGTCACTCAGGCTGGAGTGCAGTGTCATGATCTTGTCTCACTGCAACCTCCATCTCCTGGGTTCAAGTGATTCTCCTGCCTCAGCCTTCCGAGTAGCTGGACTACAGGTATGTGCCACCACACCCAGCTAATTTTTGTATTTTTGGTAGAGACAGGGTTTCACAATATTGGTCAGACTGGTCTTGAACTCTTGACTTCGTGATCCATCCACGTTGGCTTCCCAAAGTGCTAGGATTACAGGCGTGAGTCACCGCACCCGGCCTGCATCACTTTTTATGCCTCGTCTTCATCCTTACAGCTTCTCCTTCCTAGGGGCCTCAACTCCCAACCCTGGAGTAAGGGTCACAACTGTCCATCTTCATGCAACACAGCTTAGTTCCCCTTCTTCTCCTCCCCACCATGCCCTATGGGCTGCTTTTCTACAACCAGAATGGAGACCCAGGGAGATCTGCTAAACTAAGACAGTTCTCACCCCTGGGAGAAAAATCTACTTCCCAGTTCTCAGTCCTGCTAAACTATTGTTAAGATAAAGAAGGACCATGATAAATCCTATTGGCTAAGAGAAGAAGATTCTCCAGGTTGCCATAGGACAAGAGAGGAAGTGACAGAATCTGCAGCCATTTGGTCGAATATGTGATATGTGAGTCATTCTGAGGAATACGTTAAAATTCTGTAGTCAGATCTTGGAAAATGATATTGCCAGTAGAGGGAAGAATGTAACAAAAAACCCAGGCAGAAAACAAACAAGTGTGTGTGGAGAAGAACAATAATGTGATGTGAATGAAGGGTTCGGTGTCATGAGTGAGAAATGGCTGACCGAAAGTAGGGAGATGCAGAGAGGAAGATACCACGGGAAGACTGAACATCACATTAAGTGATTTAGGTGATTCTGCCTGCAGTGCAAATATTTTGGGCTCTGAAGTGAAGTCATCAAAAGGTTTACGTCTGTAATGGAGGATTGGTCTAGATAGCCTCTCAGATCCCACTCGGCTTTGAGATCCTTGATTCCGGGTCACACCTGCGGGTCTGGAGGGCAGTTCTTCAGGGTCATGAAGGAAGGATTCCAGGAGGCTGGAACATGAAGGACATTCAGGTGACCACATCAAGAGATCAAGTGGGGTAACAAGAGCCTGAACTAGAAGGAATGCAGTGTAAATATGAAGAAGAGGAAATGGGAAACTGACTAGAAACGATAAGTAGAGAAAAAGGGAAACGTGTGATTCCAAGGTTTAGAACAGTATTTGTAAGTTACAGTCCCACAACTTCTTGCATAAACAGTATCTAAGAGAGTCATTTTAAAAAGAATAGCAAACTTCCAAGTTCCACGGAAAGACATCAGCATCTCTGTGGAGTGAATTGGGGAAAGAGAATGAAGAAGTCTGTTCAACTTTTAGATATACAAAATGTGAATTGAATTGCATGAGTGACACCAACAATGTGAAGATATTTAACAGGAGCTCTTTTTTCCCTTTTTGGCCTGTAGTATTTAATCCTTCTATCATCATTATCGTCCTTTCTCTAATTTAATGTCTTTGAACCTTTCTTCAAAAATCCACTATGTATAGGTAACATGTTTGTGAGATTATTACTAGACCCTCTAGGAGGTTTCATTAACCCAGTTTTGATAGTTCAGGTAAGTCCTCCACCATTTTTTTTCCAAGTTGTCTTAGCTCTTTTGGGTTCTTTAAATTTCCAGACACATTTTGGAATCTGCTAGTTCATTTCTACTGAAAAAAAATAAAATAAAATCATGCTGGGATTTTGATTGGAATTGCATTAAACCTCTGCTCCACAAGGGCAGAACTGACATCTTAACAATATTGAGCCTGCTGATCCATGAACACAGTATATCACTTCATTTATTTAGTTCTTTAATTTATCTCAGCATCACTGCCTGCTTTACAGTGCATAGATCTTACACATCTTTTGTCAGATTTAGTCTTAATATTACTTTGTAAATTTCCATTTCCAATTATTTCTTTGCCAGTGTATAAAGAGATAAATACTGCTTATGGAATGTTTGCAAGATACAAGCTAAACTTTCCAAACTCACTTATTAGTAAGTAATTTATTATTATTAGTTTTAGTGGCTTTTTGTGATTTCAGGAGATTTTCCACACGGGTGATCACGTCACCTGCAGATACAGATAGTTTTAAATCTTATTTTCTAATAAGGGTGCATTTTATGTGTTTTAACTTGCCTTATTGCACTGACTAGACTCCAAAAAAATGCTGAAAAGCAGTGAGAAAAAAGTCATCAGGTGGGATGGTAAATACAGCCCTTGTTCTTCCATTTTGACCTGAAGCACCCAGTGTGAGCATTTTCTCATTTGATTTTTGTGAGGACTTTTTGTTTCCTTTATTTTTTAAAAATACACTTTATCTTTTAGGCAGTTTCAGGTTCACAGAAAAATTGAGGGAAAGGTGCAGAGAGTCCTTCTATATGCCTTCCCTTCCCCCACGTGCACAGCCTCCCCAACTAACAACACTCCTGCCCAGAAGGAGTATTTGTAATAATTGAAGAACCTACGTTGACATATTGTCATCACCCAGAGTCCACAGGTTACATGAGGGCTCCGTCTTGGTGCTGATTCTATGGGTTTGAACAAATATGTCATGACATGTATCCACCGTGATAGCATCGTACAGAGCAGTTGCACTAAAATCCTAAAAATCTCCGTGTTTCACCTCCTCATCTCTCCCTCTTCCCAACACCTGGGAAGCACGGACATTTTCACTCCATAGTCTGGCCTTTTTCGGGATGTCCTTTAGTTGGAAGCTTACAGTATTCAGAATGTCCTTTAGTTGGAAGCTTACAGTATTTAGTCTTTTCCGAGGGGCCTCTTTTGTGTAGCCGTGCATGTTTAAAGTTCCTACGTGTCTTTTCATGGCTTGACAGCTCACTTCCCTTCAGTGCTAAAGAATATTCCATTGTTTGGATATATCACAGGTTATTTATCCACTCACCTAGTGAAGAACATTTTGGTTTCTTCGTTGCCTCCAAGTTTGAGCAATTATGAATAAAGCTGGAATAAAATTAGCAATTATGATTAAAGCTTCTATAAATGTCCATGTGCAGGTTTTTCTGTGAACACAAGTTTTCAACTCCTTTGGATAAATACCTAAGAGTGCAATTGCTGGAGCACATGTTAAGAGGATATCTCGTGCCCATCAATGATACACTGGATACACAAAATGTGGCACGTATATACCACGGAATACTATGCAACCATAAAAAAGAATGGGTTCCTGTCCTTTACAGGGACATGGATGAAGCTGGAAGCCATCATTCTCAGCAAACTAAAAGGAACAGAAAACCAAACACCACATGCTCTCACTCATAAGTGGCAGTTGAACAATGAGATCACATGGACACGGGGAGGGGAACGACACACACGGGGGCCTGTTGGGGGGTGGGGGCAAGAGGAGGGAGGGCATTAGGACAAATACTTCATGCATGCAGGGCTTAAAACCTAGATGATGGGTTGACAGGTGCAGCAAACCCCCATGGCACATGTATACCTATGTAACACACCTGCATATGTATCTAAGAACTTAAAGTAAAATGTAAAAATAAAAAATAGGGAGTATAGTTTGGTAAGACAATGTGATAATTTTACAAACACAAAACATGTCATACCCACTTCCCCACCTCCCTCAAGTGCTTTCAACAGCATCCTGTTGCTGTTATTAAGAGAATAAAGCATCTACCATCATCTCCCAGCCCCTGCCTGCCTGCCTTCATTCTTGTCTTGTGCCACTTTCTCCCGTGTTTACTTCCTTGCACGTGCCTGTTTCCTGCTGCAAGAGGCATTCTGCACGCACCCCC